ACGATGTCATCCGAACTTATAATCAGAGACTTGCAGCCAATGTTAAACAAAAATAACTTGACATTGAAGCAAAACATTAAACAGTTGCTGAACGAATATTTAATGTACTGAATCGTTACCGAGGTTTTGTCATAATATTTGTCACAAATATTTGCCACAATATTTGAGTAAACAATTCGATTCATCTTGTGGTGGTACAATCTCAAAATGGTTGGATTTCTAGAATTCAATTTTTTCTGTGAAAATATACTCTAATTTTACGTAGGACAAATTCACCAGGATTTTTTTATCTAGTCATTCAATTCAATTTTTCAATTCTTAAAAAAATTGAATTGAATTCTTAAAAAAATTCATCAATTCCCGCGACTCCGGTCGATTTTCCAAATCCGTAATTTCATCGAATCGAATTATCTATTTAGTTTTCGGACTACCAAAGCTACACAAAACAATTGGGAAATTGCTCTTATATTACATATAGTATAATTATTTTTTCTAATGAATCAGTAATATGCGTCCGAATAGTTATTTTGCACACTATTTCCTCAGTCCTTCGATAAAATGTTAATAGAAAAATTTTATTTACACATACTTGAATGAATTTGAAACAGCACATTTGAAGAAACCATCAGAAAGCTCACTGTCGGGGAAATTCATGAAAAATTCAAAATTTTCAACAATCATCATAAAAATCAAATCAGCCAATATAGCCATCATAATCATCTTTTAATTTTGACTTAATGGCATTAAAGCAAACATTTTAAGCTATGATTGAATTCATTTGAGGCATGATATTCAAAGATATCCCCGGAATTCTGATGTTCAAAAAACACAAAAATTTTGAAAATTTTCGAATAAATCAAAGTAACGATTATTGCTATCGCCTTCATCTTCGAACTCGGTCAACGGGACATCCAAACAATATTTTTGAAGCCATTATTCAATAAATTCAGAACATTTTTTTTAGTTATCGTGGAACAACCGATTTTCGAAAAAATTCAAAAATTGAAAAAACCAATTGATGAATTAAATTTTAATTAATGGTGATCGATAGAGGTCAGCAATACCTACATTTGAAAAAAAAAATCAATTCCATCCATTCATTAGCGAACAATTGAAGAAAAACTTTACCATACACGTACGTACAAAATTGAACGATTACAATGCTTTCATTCGGAAACAAAATAACAAAATATGCTCACAGAGAATAAAATTGAGGGGAAATTCCTGAAAAATCGAGTAATGGTAGAGGGGAATTTCATTCCAGGTCTTGTTGATTCTTGATCGAGGGAAAAAATTCGAGACGAATAAGGAACTTCCCAATTTTCCGCGAAAATTTAATTAATCCTCAAAATTAAGACTCAATACCTCGCATAAAAACCAAATTAATCGAATATCAGATAGACCGACAATAAAATTTGGGTTAAAAGTTTAATTCTCGGTTGTATTCTCTGAAGTCCCCACGAATTCTAATTTGCCTCTCATTGTCGCGTGGACACTGACGGCCACCGCCCACTGGCAATTTGAATCAACAGTACTCCTTCCTGAAGGATGACGAAATATCTCCACGAAAACCCCGAACCCCACTCACAGCATTAAAATTCCCCGGAGGGTTTTCCTCTACAGTGACAATGCACCGAGTCAATTCTTCTTAATGCTTTCAAGCGTGTAAACAAATTAGCCACGAGTTTTCATCTGCATTCTAAAGGAAACTCGACATGAACGATAACAGACTGATTTACGAGTGGTGCTCTAGGTATTGTCTATCAACGTGGCTCCATAGCTGAAGCGCATTTGTTCGACCAAGTGCACCTCCATGACGCTCACATCCATTGAAAATGGACAATTGATATCATACTGTCGTTGAAAAGCCTCGATAGATACTGATGACAGGTCAATTCCTGTTTTTCTGCATGAAACATTCTAATTTCAATTTCTACATTTTAATTTCTACATCTGTACACTACACTGACAATGAGAGAAAAACAAACACGTTGTCAAACAAGTCTTGTTTGGGCCAATAAAATTGCAAGTTGAAAATTGCCAAAAAAGAATTTGTTTGGTTCGAATTGGAACATCTCAAACATGAACAACTGTTCTGCTTCCAACAGCAAAGAAATATTTGGCTCAAGAGGTGGATAAATAATCACGCCGGACGGTGCCTTTTCAGGATGAAAATATCTCATATAGTAGAAAATTTATCAACAAATATTTTATCCCTAAGTTACAAGATTGCTATCATATTGTTACGGAAATGGAAGCTTTATTAAGAATCTCTTCTCTCTCGAGTGCAGTGTGAATGTGGTTGTAAGACAAAATGAATCTTTGAGAGTGACATGTTTTTATTATTGGATTATGTCGGGAGATTCTAGCCTGCCAATTAAACGTCTCATCCTTGCTGTAATACAATAATATCATTATTATTGTTTCATTTAAGGGTTTATTTCCTGTCTGTGATTATTAGACAGCCAAAACGAAGAACTATTATCCCTTGATTCGCAAAAAACAAAGATTTTTCGAGAGCAAAATACGTATGGGAGTATCGAATAACGAAGGAGTAGTGCTAGAAATTACATTTCTGGCGTGTACAGAGAATGCAATTTTTTTTTAACTATTAAATCTATTCTTGCGACAAAAATTTTTCATCACGCTGTGACGAAAAGTGAACTTTTCGGCACGCTCCGCGTGCCTAAAAGTCCAATTTCCGCCACATTGTGATGAAAAATATTGTTCATAACTCGTGAAAAAATGTTTTTTAGCTCGTGGGATTATATCACTCGCCTTCGGCTCGTGATATAAACCTCCCACTCGCCAAAAAACACTTTTTTGCACTCGTTACGAAATATACTATTTCATTCCGGCGCACTGTCTGCATGTTTGGCACGAAAAAATCCTTTTTTGATCATTTTCAAAAAACTATTTTTTTTACACAAGTAAGACTTGTTTGAGAACTTTGTCGTTTTTCTCTCAGTGTACACTGTTAAAAAAAATTATAAATTTATCACACTTTTATGACAAAATTGTATGGAAAAATTCCTATACTGGTATGTGAATTTTCTCAGATGGTATGAGACCCAAAAGTATGATAAATTTATAATACCGTATGATGTAAATTACTTCCTATACATGTGTGATAATTTTGGGTCGGAAATTTTTAACAGTAGGGTGACCGTTAGCGCACCCATTCCGAAATTTTTGATGTGCCGCCTGCTCAAAAGACTCCAAATAAATAAAAAAAAAACCTCAAAATTTCAGCTCTCTATCTCAATTCTAAAACGCTCCCCAAGAGCCTTTTTTCCCATCAGAATCACACGCGATTTTCAGGAAAATTTCGAATCTGTTTGCCCCCTCCCCCTGTTATGTCCGAGGGACTACTTACTCCCGAAATCACGGCACCACTCTGGCATGAAATCATTCCGAGATCACTCCGAAATCACAGAAATCAAGTGATTTCAGCTCTCCGAAATCACTTTTGAAATCATCTCCGAAATCACGTGAAATCGTCTGAAATCAATGAAATCATCGAAATCGGTGGCGCACTGGCGCAGTGCGGAGGATTTAGGTACACGAAGCGTGCCTAAAAAATTACTTTTTCGCACAGCGCGATGAAAAGGACCCTTACCTACGTAATACCTCCCTAGGTTAAAAAAAATACTATTTATGTCCACAAGTAAATCGATTCAACACGTCCAAAGGTCTCTTCAGGGGAACATGTCGCGTGCTAAATGAAAGAAGGTCATATTGACCATTTTCGATAAAATCTAGCGAATTCACTAGAAAATTCTATCGGAATTCAATAGGAATTCTATGGGATTTCTATAGGATTTCTATTGGAATTCCATTGAAAATTTCTATTTGTTTTTTGCGCTGATTCTATTGGATATTCGATAAGAAATAGTCAATAGATTTCGAATTTCTGTTAAAATTTTTCTCTTGAGATTTTTTCTATACATGGAGAGAAATATTCAGTAACAATTACGGAACTCACAATTCGCTCACCGATTACGGAATCGACTCAGAAAATTTAAGTGACGTTATCGTAATTTTTCACAGGAGATTCAGGTAAAAATTACGGAACATTCTGGAAGAATTCCGTGACAGTTCTGTAAAATTTCCTGCTCCGGAATTACGGACAAAATATGTAATTTTTATTGAATATTTCTCTCCATGTAAGAATGCTTGGGCCTTAATTTTTCAAGCTTTTTCCACTCGGATTCTACAACGCAAAACAAAACAAAATCCAGCGGAAAACACTTAGAAAATTTGTGCCCAATAATTCTAATAGAAAAAATCAAAGAGAAAAATTCAAACAGAAATTCGAAATCTATTGACTTTTTCTGATTGAATATCCAATAGAATCAGCGCAAAAAACAAATAGAATTTTTCAATAGAATTCCAATAGAATTTTCTAGCAAATTTGCTAGGTTTTTTATTGAATATTTTCATGCATGTCTTCTTTACATAAACCAATCAATCAGTCTATCCATGAAATGAACTTCAATATTTCCCCATAATTAACGACAAAAACATGACCGATAAATTTAATTATTAACAACCAACCAAGTAGTATTTTTCATCTCTCACAATTCGATCCCCTACACATCGCGGAATTTAATTGGTTGAACTTGCTAGTACAGGGGTCACAGGGTCAATTGCTCATTAGCTGACACCCAACAGTTCCACAGCGAAAATTCCAGAGGTATTTTTCACGGTCACTCATCGCTGCATTAACACCGAATAATCGAAATTGATCGTTCGCGTCACATGATTCCTCAGATGACTCCTAAGTCCTCTCTAGAACCAATGAATCCTCAAGTTTCTTGACATTGCAACCGATCAATTGAATGAAAAATCTGCGTCACGATTTCCCAACAATTGCTGTCACGAGTGACGATAAAATAAGAGAAATCAGAAACATGTGATTATTGAAACGATTCATCTTCATTTATCAGTGATCTTCATTCACATCGAGTCTGAAAATCAATGCACAAATATCAATTTACCTGCTATTCGTGGATGCACTGAGGGTGCCGTTTCGGCAGAGATCGGCTGTCAGTTCAAGCATTTTCCCGCATCATTGACACTTTGACGATCACTCAAAAATTTGGTAAAATTAGAGTTCTGACTGATGACAGGGGCACAACTCTCAGCCTAAAATCAACTCTATAATCTCACTTAGCGGTAATTCAAGAGTCAAAAACCGTTGGTTCAGCCGCAATCACAAACCAATGATTGACAAAATCATCCACTGTTCACTGTCATGACACAGTTGTAGCGGAGATGAGATGTAGGATCATCCCAAGTTCGCAATCGACTGAACTATGTCAGAGCCGTGAGGGGTACACCAGTCAATTGGATAACTACCTATCACGCATCTACGTGGATAGTACAACGACAAGTGATGCGTACACACTCGGTTCATACGTTTTTACGTATTTATATTCACAATGACGTATTTGTGGAGTGGAGCATTTTGGAATTTCCTAAGCACAAAACAAATTATTCACTCAGCATTTGCAAGCACAATTCGTTCATCGCGTCAGCATTAATTCGGTATTAATACCTTAATAGAGGATGATTGGGGTAGTTCTGAGTATTATTTACGAGAAATTTTTATTTCCATGAGATGTGACGTGTGAGGGAGTTCTTGCGACAGTTGGAGATACGTAAATTGGGCCCCCTCCCGCGAATGGATCTCATGGATACCGGTGCGATATGCCACTCGTTCACCGATTTGAAATGTGATCTAAATGGTTACGACCTTGCCAACCGGCTTACACTGATTTTCACGGGGAAACTCCCGACCGATCCCACATGAAGGAAAATTTGTGATGAAAATTGTCCTGAAGATGTGGGTAGAAATTACCGTATGTAATACCAGGAGAGCTTCAAAATTATCAGGTATTTCCCCATAAGTTCGTTGCAAACAAACGAAGGAGTCAAGTTTTTCCTGAAGAACCTCGCGGGAAATACCTCGAGTGGTATTCGGAAGAGAATTTTTTCACTCACATTTCGGCCAAGGGAATTGCGCTATGAGACAAAATCCATATGGCAGGTTTAACGAGGGGCTCACTCAACCAGGAAATCTTTTGTTTTTCATGTGAGGTATTCTGTGTCAAATGAGTCAACGGCTGACTCTCACCCTTTTGGAAATGGTTACACGGAGAGAAATATTCAGTAAAAATTACGGAACTCACAATTCACTCACTGATTACGGAATCGACTCAGAAAATTTAAGTGACGGTATCGTAATTTTTCACAGGAGATTCAGATAAAAATTACGGAACGCTCCGAAAAAATTCCGTGACAGTTCCGTAAAATTTCCTACAACCACATTTCGCTGTGGAATTACGGACAAAATACGTAATTTTTATTGAATATTTCTCTCCGTGTAGAAAAGCTATCTCTCAATTTTTTAAAGATTTTTTCGACAGCCCATTTCGGAGGTATCATTTTTTCTTAGTTTTTTCGTTTCCCCAATCATAGAAAAAATCGAGATCAATTTCCAAGATGGTAAGGGTTTGCCGTTGACTCATTTAACATCACGTATGAAAACCTAGCGAATTCGCTAAAAAATTCTATTGTAATTCTGTAAAAATTCGATGGGGTTTCTATAGAATTTCTATTGGAATTCCATTGAAAAATTCTGTTCGTTTTTCGATAAGAAATAGTCAATAGATTTCGCATTTCTGTTTGAATTTTTCTCTAGAGATTTTTTCTATAAGAATGCTTGGGCATCAATTTTCCAAGTTTTTTCCACTTGGATTCTGCAATGCAAAACAAAACAAAATCCAGCAGAAAAAACTTGGAAAATTTTAATTTTTCATTTGGGATCAATGCATTTTCATGATCGAATGTTAATTACAATCGTCTCAGCGGTTGTCTAATTATCCAGATGTGATTTTATCCTAATAAACAGAAAAAAGTAATGGGCCGAGCCCACTTCCACCAACTCCTCTCCTACTGGCCGCACCCCAACCCAGAGTGACATCATCTTGTGAATTTTCAATTACTGAAATTTCCTTGAACCTTCAGTGGAACTATCAGTCGATAGAAATTCCCAAGAAGTATACTGAATGTAGCCGCCAAAAATTTTCAACAGTGTATCATTTACTTTTGCCTTCACATAAAGAAGGACCAATTTTCAATTGTACTCAAGTCATATTCAATATACACACGGAAAAAAACATTGAATGGTGCTTGCCTCTACAATAGTCAGAAGATATAACCATACCGAACAGAAGAAGAAGAAAAAAAAATTGAATTGAGTATAAAATATACTATTTCATTAAAGAAGGGAATTTATATAACATTCCACATCTTTGTGACGTCATAGGAAATTACTTGGATGGGATTTGGATGAGGTAGAAGGGGATCCGAGATTATTCTCAATATGAATTAACAAGAAATATTTACTGGAAAAATGGATAGTCCAGACCGGGATTTGAACCCGGGACCTTCCGATTACGCATCTGGTGCTCTCCCAACTGAGTTATCCGGCTCCTAGCCATTTTTTCATTTCAAATTTCTTGTACATATTGAGCTCCGCTGTCCTTCTTACGGCATTCATTTTTCATTAAAGAAGGGAATTTATATAGCGTTCCACATCTTTGTGACGTCATAGGAAATTAGCTGGATGGGATTTGGATGAGGTGGATATACTTGATTCGAGTATAAAATATACTTGATTCGAGTATAAAATATACTTGATTCAAGTATATTTTACACTCAACTGAATTTTGTTTTCTGTGCACCGAACTTGAAAATTAATGAACAGGTATATGTCAAACATTTCCTCAAAATGCTGTGATATTGATCTTTCATTGCGTAATTCATGGATTTTTTTAGAAATCCTTCCAACTTAGTAGAAATTACACTTACGGTTGCGATTAATTTTCCGGAATAGAAGAGGAAAATCTATTTATGTCATTAGGCCCGATAAACCGCGGGCCCAACGACATAAAATATCGTATGCCACACGGCGATAAAAGCATTATCTGGTGAATGTCGAAATTCGCCAGATAATACTTTTATCGCCTAATGACACAATCTACAATTTCATCACGCTGTGCGAAAAAGTAACTTTTTAGGCATGCTTCACGTGCCTAAAACGTCCCTTTCCCACACATTGTGATGAAAAATATCGTTCGATACTCGTGGGAAAAGTGTTTTTTAGCTCGTGGGAGGTTTATAGTACGAGCCGAAGGCGAGTGATATAATCCCACGAGCCAAAAAACACTTTTCCGCACTCGTGACAAAATATACTTTTTGGACGTACGTTTTCTACTCGTTCCCGTGACAGGATAATATTTACAACATTTTTCACTCCATACATTCTACTGAACAGATAAATCTCTTCAATCATCGGATTAGCTCTCGACTACATTCCACTGCTAGTCGATTATCCCCAATTCTGATTGATCTTGATTGCGATATTGAGTTGATTTCAGAGGAAGCCGACTCAATATCGAACAAGAGCATATGAGCTTTAATGTCATGGCTTCTCGCGCATTGGAATCGATCTTATTGGATGGAGTGGCTCGAAGTATCTGAGGCACTCGAGAAAAACTGAGATTGAGAAAAAATTGACGGGAGATATCGCGCTAGAATGACAAAAATGCTTGATTAGTGTTGAGGGAAAGAAAAAAGTGGTGGAGATTACGATGGTCACTGTCGATTGTGGAAATGGGGGAGGGCGGAAGATAATTGCGAGATTGAGATTATGATAATTGAAAGGTCGCTGATCGCAATTGTCAGTGATCTTCGGGTGAATGCTCGCCAATTTCAGAAACAAATCAATAGATTGGTATGAGTTAAATCCAATTTTTTTAGCGATTTATTTGAAAATGAGTAGTTTAGGAAAATATGGCAGAAGTAATTTCCGGTAGCTGAGGAAATTTCCAACGTAGAAACACGAAACATTTTTTCGCCCCGACGGGCGCAAATTACACATTTCCCTTCCGCTACACGGGAGGGAAATTTGACTTTGCATACGCCGAGGCAAAAGATAGCATTCTAACCACAGGAGATAAAATAAAAGAGCCTTACCCAGGAGCTTGCCACCCTCGCCTTCGGCTCAAGTATTTTAACCAAAACAAAAACAGTATTTTGACCAAATTCGCGGAATTTCGAGAAAAAAAAATTAAAAATGGAATAGATCTAGGGCGAAACCCAGGGCAATCTGACTTTGCATACGTCGAGGCGAAAAATAGCGTTCTAACCACGGCAGATAAAATAAAAGACCCTTACCCAGGTACTTGCCACTCTCGCCTTCGGCTCAAGTATTTTGACCAAAAAAAAACAAGTATTTTGACCAAATTCGCGGAATTTCGCGAAGAAAAAATTAACAACGAAATAGATTCATGACGAAACTCAACTTATATGACGGCTCAAAATATTTGTTTTGGTTACAATACTTACTGAAGAAAATCCGAGAAAAATAAAACGTGACATAATTTTGAAAATTCAAGGTTTACAATTTTGACGTGGATACGTCTATTTTCATTATGGGGGGGCATTTAGGGAAAAAGTCCTTATGGTTCCTTATCGACAGTGGCGCCATCTATCGGAATTCTAGACCATATCTAGAAAATTCTCCAGTTTTTTAGAAATAAATTACAATTTTGAGGGATCCTTAGCGCTGATCGGCAAAATACGGACAGTTGGTTATTATAATAAAAATAATAATACAAATAATAATAATAGTATCAATAAAATATAATTATAAAATTGAAAAATTAATTATTTGAAATAATAATAATTCTTCTCAGTAAAATATAATAATAACTTTTCTTATCAAAGACACAGCCACCCGCAGATTTTTTTTTAATTTCGGTATTATGAGCACTTGGGAGTTGAAAAAAAATACTCAAAATATTCATATAGATGGTAGAAAATCGAAAATTTTGACGTTTCATAAATAAAAATCGGATGAATAGAACTGAAGTTGTTGAAAAAAAAACGAAAAAACAAAGAAAAATTCACATCTCCGAAATGGGCTGTCAAAAAAATCGGAAAAAAATTCAGACACTTTTGCTAGTCCCCTAATCGTAGAAAAAATCGAGATCAATTTCCAAGAGGGTGAGGGTCAGCCGTTGGCTCATTTGACATGGAATACCTCAAATATATATACAATACACTGATGGCGAAAAAAAATAAGACATCACTCAGTGACATGCTCACTGTCATATGGCGCGCTGTCATGCGCTCGCTGTTCCCTGTTTGTTTCTCAGGGCAGTCCTAAACCCTCACCCAAAAAATTGAAAACTTGCATTGGAACGATTCATTTGAGTGCTTCCATTCGCAAGAAAAAATGATAAATCTAACCTTGGCATCCTCAGGCTGTCATCCTCCTGGTGTTGTCACAACAGTGCGCACTAGGGAGATACTTCAATCTGACTGAATACCTGGAACAACCGCGCTACCCGACACACGAAAGAAACTGGGGGATTCACCGTTCGTATTCTCCTTTAGTAATCCCTCGAGACGTTTCGTACCTGCCGGAGGATGATTACGATAATCAGGGGGACAGTGACACTGTCGAGAAAATTGAAGAAGAAACCCAGCGTCAGTTGGAGAGAAACGACAGGAACTTGAGGCCAGTGAGTCGGTCAATGATCTTTCAGTTCAATGTAAACAAACATCCGGTGTTATTGTTTTTGATGAAGGTCGTCTGCGGCTCATTGGGTTTTCGCTTTTGCTTGGGATTTAATAGTTGCGTTGGTCACGCTTGGTGGAATATTCAGGCGCAGTTTTTTCGAGCCCATTGCCATTTTTTGGATTCGTGGATTTTTGGGATTTTTTTTTGAATTTTCTCTTTTAGGAGTATCGAAACTTGTGCGAAACGAGGACTCGGAAGGTGCAACTCAGCGATGACGAGTTTGAATATCAGCCGCCGCATTATCATGAGATATACTGCAAGAGCTATGCACTCATTGATCATTCTGTGCGCAATCCTGTGAAGCCCCCCAGACAGGTAAAATAATGTGACTATGGTTACTAGAAATTACATTTCTTACTTGCACAGAGGATAACGTTTTTTTGAAAAGACTAGATCTGTTTTTGCAATAAAAATTTTCAATCGCAGGCTTCCCTAGAAAATACGTTTTTCTCAAGATTGTCCCCATTTTTTTATAGATAATATTTATAGTAGTCCCCAGCGATTGAAAAAAAATGATAAGTAGCTGTACTACACAGTTCAGGAGATCTTATTGAACAGTAGAAATTTTTGAAAACTAGAAATGCGCGCGCTTTGACGCGGGCATATTCATAGATGTTTATAAATATTGATAATAACTTTGAGAGAATTGAGAGAATGAAGAGTGAAACATCAATGAATAATTTTGAATCTTCGATTAATTCTTGTTTTTTTTTACTTTTTAAAATAATCTGATTAAAATCTGTAATTGTTGAAAAATGAGGGGAGGGTTATGAATTGATTTCCCAGAAAACTGAAAAAATTTCTTGAATTCTTCGGAAAATTTTACAATTTTCTAGATCACTAGATCTTCGAAGATTTTTCTCGAATTATTTGGGAAATAAAAGAATTTTCATGAATTTTGTAAAGTTTTGAATTTATGTATGAAAATCTGAGAAGCAAGAATTGATCATTTTTACGTTTGATAAATATAAAAAAATTAAAATTTGGGAAGTGAAGAATAATTTGTGGGTTAAAAAAATTTATAAATGCTATGTTTTTTTCTCATGATCAACAATTAGGCAATTTAGATGTTTTGATATAAAGATAAACGTCACACATGAAAAAATGAAAAATATGATGCAGAAATAGTATATTTCAGCACGTGTGGGGCAATTTCGTCTTTAACGTGTGTGGGGTTTACAGCATAAGCCGAAGGCGAGTGATGTAACCACACACGTTAAGGACGAAATTTCCCCACAAGTACTGAACAAAATTTTATGTCACGAAGCCTGAAACCGGCTGAATTAGACACGAGACGCGAAGCGTCGAGTGTGTAATCCAGCCGGTTTCAGGCATGAGTGGCATAAAAATTTTTGGCATCTGAAGAATTTAAAAATACCGGAGATTTTTTTCAGCGACTACTTCACGTGACTCTTTGACCAATCAGAATTGAGGATTAGCGGTCAGACAGTTTCGAGATATTTCGATATGTACTTTTGACACAACAAAAACAAACTTCGATATAAAACAAATTCACGTTTCTTTCATCTTTCGTAAATAGGAATAGGATTACAAAGAAATGAAGAAAAGCCAAGTCAGAAATGTCAAATGAATGGCCATAGGGCCGAATCAGATGTCTGTGATAAAAATATTTCTAAATCAAATGAGGATTGGAAAAAATTCTCTATTCGTTTATCCGATTCTACCAATCCACTACTAAATTGTTTACAGTTCCATATTTTCGATCAATATTTCTTCCGTTATTTCTAGCTATGTGCTCATCCTGGATTCCACTGTGTACAACGAAGCAGGACTATTTCCTTGGTGCGACGTCGATGGTCTGATACTTGCTGGGAGGCAATAGGTAAGGAAATCGCCAGTGGATGCGACTGCATGTGGCCTGTTGCGAACCTTGGGGACATCACCGCGCATTATTGAAGGGGAATCACTGGTTGAATTTATTTCAGAATGACGAACTTTCAGTATTACTACCTCTTGTAACTTTGATTTGAGAATGCAATGATTGAAAAGACTTTGATTTTTATTAAATGATTTATTGAGTATTTTTTTATGGTACATTATTTCCATGAATTCGCTCTGTGCTTTGGCAGGAAATGGAAACCGTCAGGAACTTTTCCAAGGAACATTTCTCTGGAAGAGTAGAAAATGAGTATTAACTGATTGAGGGGTGAATGGAGGAGAAACTGCGATTGGTCACCTGCGCGGGAATTTGCCGCCGTGTTATTTAGGCTTTAGCGTTGCCGAATTCATTCTACACTGCTCGGGTGCGTTTAACGAGTTTTCGGCAACGTCGCGTCATGGGCAATTTCATTTAAGGTGAAACGGAACCCCTGTATGTGTATGAACTTTTAGAATTGTTTTTTCCTATAATTATTAATTTTTATCTATGAAACTACTTTATCGACTCTGTTATTGCATTATTGAGTCAATGAAGTAGTTTAATAAGTGAAAAATAATAATTGCAGGAGAAAACATAATTCTAAAAGTTCCTATAGACACAGGCGTTCTGTTTCACCTTAACATGGGAGAAAATGATTCATCTGTCCGAAATAATTCGATTTCTTTAGGAATTTTGAGAAATATGTTGTTCTAAAAATTACTATAATTACTATAATCCCATTGAAATCGATTCATCCGTTTTTGCGTGAATCATAAACGAAAAAAGGCAGTAAATTTATGATATGTAAAAACTTGAGGGGCAAAAGTTTGTGATATGTTGAAAGATAGGAGAAGTATTGAATTATTGTCTTACGATATTTTCACCCAATCGGCGCAATTGGAACTGGCCATGAGGGTCTCCATTTCGTCACGGCCTTTGTAGAATGGAGGTCGCTCGTTGATTCTCTGTGGTGGCGACTCTAATATTCCCACTGGGATGTATCTAAACATACATGTTGATTGAAATTGAATAACAATGAATAAAAACGTGGGGAACGAATTTATGATTCAAGAACATATTTGAATTGTTCAATTGAGGACGAGAGAATTCTTCCATTTTGTGTTTATATAAGCCTATATTGAAACAAATTAAAACTATATGGAACTATATTGAACTATATTGAAACGGAAGCCTATATTGAATTGAAACTCTACTCTAGAGACGCGAAAAATTGATGAAATTAAAAAAAAATTTATTCATGATCTATTATGCGAATAAATTAAAACGGATGCTTATCTTTTATTCTTTGGAGTATAACGAACATTGAAAAAAATGCAAAAATCGTAAAAAAACTACGGCGCAAGGAGCATTTTGAAGGTAAAAACAGGAAAAAATGAAGTTTTTTGTGGTTATCCCGGGCAAAATAGATTGGGTCCGCGATTTTCTCTAGTTATTCCCATATTCTGTCATATATCACAAACTATCCATTGAATAACTTCATCTCTAAATTGACAAAAAAATCAATTTTTTTGAATACTCGCGATTTTGGATAAACATCCTTAATCATGCATTCCATTTTTTCCTACCTATGCAAAAACGAGATCCACTCCAGCATGAATCTCCTCGTGGTCTCGACCCCCCTGGTGTCCGACCCCCAGTGGTCCAGCCCATAATTCGCATACTTCCTCAGAATCTCCAGTCTCTCTGAGCTAGCCATATCGATGAGCTTCCTCTCCTTGATCTCCGTGAAGATCCACGGCTTAATCAACGCACCCCTGCCAATGGTGATCCCCTGCACACTGGGACAGCTCTCCCTCACCCTCAAATAATCGTCATACCCCAGAACATCTCCATTCCCAAAAACTGGAATTGGACTAGCCGCAGCCGCACACCTCTCAATATACTCCCAATCCGCGCTCTTCGTGTACCTCTGCTCTCTGGACCTGCCATGAACAGTGATCATAGAGGCCCCCCAGTCTCTGAACTGCGGGCTCAGATTATGAGCAATTGGTTTATCCTGATAGACCCCCATCCTCGTTTTGATGGTGAGAGGGACATCCAGAACCTGACTGACAGACTGAACGACACTCTCCAAGATATTCCTCCTGGTCAGCATTCCACTCCCTCCTCCTTGCTTATAAATCAACTCGATGGGACACCCTAAATTCAAATCCACAAAATCAATGTCTGCCTCTTCGTTCAGCAACTGGGCAGACCTGGTGAGGACCCCGGTGTTGTTCCCACAGATCTGGACCCCAAAAATGTCCTCTGTCTCGTACCTGTGGTAAATCGGTGAGTTATGGAATTAACATATGATTGAATTAAGGGTATTCAAGTACTCTGGTATTTTCTGTCCAGTGAAATAAGTTTCCAGATATTTTACGATAATTTTATTATTTAAATTTTGCAGGTCTGAAGTTGCATTTTGATATTAAACTGTTAGAAATCATTTTTTAAATCTGAAAAAAAATTGGAATGTCTACTTTTGGAGGAAGATTGATGAAATAATTAAAAATTATAATTTTTGCAAATTACGAGCATCTTCTGTAAATAATTCATAAACAATCAATTTTCCATCATAAAAATCATTTGTTCGGAATCGTAACAAATTTATTCACATTCGAAATTTTACCAGAAATCAATTTCATTTCTACAAAAATTAGGTTTCCGAAAGAAATTTTTTGTCAATCGTAAGAACTCAATTATTGATTGATAAAATAATTCGAAATTCGAATATTTAATTGATTCAATTAATTTAATCTTTCGAACGTTATCTCGATGTTTTTTTTCATCTTTCGTCATCTGAAATTGTCAATTAAGTCCTGCGTCATGCAGAAGTTTTGAAAAATTACGAATGAATAATCGTAAACAGTAGAAAAAAATCTTAATTTTTTCAACGAGCATTTTTGATTTATATTCAGAATAAGTTGAATAACAAAAACATGAAAAATGTATCTGATTTACGGTGACAAATGGCGGCCTGTCACCTAATATCATGCAGGGGGAACACTGATTTTGTAAATCTTTTCCCACACTCCACAGAGACATTTATTACGGAGAAGGCTCTTTGAAAAAAGTTGTAATATTTTGGAGAATTTTTTAATCACACTTTTATCACATAAAAATGGCAGATGACGACATACCACTGTTTTGAAAATTGAGATTGCTAGCTGTCACTTCCCATGAGGAGTTAGTGCTTTGTTATCCACCATGGAAAATGACAGCTAATAGATAATTTGCCACAGCGAATCAAATATTTGTAATTTCCACTTGTTTCAACGCATTCTGAATCTTAATTAAAAACGCTCTTTAAAAATGTTCAGAATTTTTCCTATTTTTTTTTATCATTCTATCATTCTGTCAGATTATGTTTTACTTGAGAGAAAGTGTTAGTTTTATTTCTAATACACGTATGAAAAAATCGTATAGAAATTTTTTATATGGATTGCGTATAGAAATTCTATAGGATTTCCGTACATGATATTCGGATATTTCAATACGAATATTTTCTATACGAATTATTTCTATACATAAATTTTTACATATTTTACAATTTTTGTTTTCATGCGAAAGATATCTAAACGCTCCAGAGAAAAACGTAGAGAAATGTCGCAACTCCATACGAAATGTTTCTATACATGTTCCAGTGGGTCGTATAGGATCAAACCTATAGAAATCGTATAAAAATAATTTGTATAAAAAATATCCGTATAGAAATATCCGAATATCATATACGGAAATCATATAGAATTTCTATACGCAATCCGTATTGAAAATTTCTATACGATTTTTTCATACGTGTAATGCAATGCCCCGAATATTCATTTATATCGATCGAAAATTCCGAATAACATGACATACCTCTTCACCAAAGCCCATTCCTCAGAAGCGCCCTTGAGGATCTTAGGAGCCAGTGCCATCTCCCCACACGTTATGTCCGCCCCATACTCCTTGCAGATGCGTCTGAATGGAAGATTTCCAACTGTTGTCAAAGGACTCAGGAGGATCTTGTCCCTCCAGTCTATCTTCTTCTTCTCTGAGGCTCGAAGCTTTACCAAATCAGCATCCGACACTGGGCCCACTCTCTTCTCAATCTTCTCTTCCTGAGGCGTTCCTGGGGTTCCTGAGGGCTTTTCCGGTCCTCTGTCATCTCCTCGAGCTCTTTTTTCCTTTAGGATCTCGTCGGTACTCCTCATGATCCTCTCAGCCTTCGAGAAATTGTACTTTCGTCTTCGCAATTTCTCCTGAAGGGAGTTTGCGATTTGGTTCTTCGTGGCTGCAGGTTTCTCTTTGTAGTTTTGGTACCTCTCGGGATTGATGATGTTGATGCCCGTCTCGGTTAGGTGACTGGAGCCGAACCTGCAGGCGGTGCCTCTGGGGCATCTGCCCGTGAGCTCGAAGACGTAACAGTCGGGACCTATGTCAGGCTCTTTGAGCTTCATGTATTCGACTCTGTCGTGCAAGAATTTACAGTTTTGAGAGGGGCATTTCTTCTCGGGGTCAGTGGCCAGCTGATCCACCAGCCAGGGGCACAGGTTCTGCTCTTTTGGGCTTCTGAAGGGCGGGGGTCGCTGTTTGTTCTGACCTTTTAGCTTTTCCTTTCTCCACTCGCGTTTGGATTTCTTGCGGGGGGGCTCGTCTGATGTGGATCTCTCTTCATCCTGGGTTTCTTGGGTCGCAGGGGTGATAACTACCGATGACTCAGGGTCGTCGGTAGAGACTTTTGTAGAATCGGTTTGGTCGGCATTGGTGGGGGAAGAATCGTCCGATTCCCTCACTTGTTCTTCGATAATGAATCTGGAGGGAAAAGGGAGCGTTTGTATCATCCACAAAGAAGTTGTCGACATTGGGGTAAAGGAATTCTATTCTAGTCCGCCTTTTCTTCCCCGACATTTCTTCCCCCCAGGGATGGCTATCAATATTATATTTCTTCAATATTAAAAGGATTTGCGAGTTACATTAATAAATGTTTAAATATACTCATCAAAATTCAAAAATAATGTAATATTAACAGTTTAAATTTTCGATTGATGATGAATAAATATCAACATATAATAATTCTAACATACATTAAACATAGTATAAAAACGTTAATATGTGTTGATATAATATAATTCAACATATAATAGTTCTATATTTGATAATATAGAACTGTAAAGTTTCCATTAAGTGAAGGCGAGAGTGGGCTAAAGCGGCCCCTTTTGATTTTTTCAAAAATGTTAACAGCTCATCCAATTTTAAATAAAATGGAATAATTTTTTTTCCATGGAAACTATACTTTTTCCCTTTTAGAATGAGCCTAGACTAATCTCAATTAATGAATTTATTTCTGAGTCTTCATATCTTTATATCTTTTCTTCTCATCAAGAAAATCAAACGAAAAAACATAAAATTTAAGCCGAGGAAATTCTATAGAAAATATCTCAATAGCATAAGTTGTATAGAAAAATTGAATTCTATTGACTTTTTCTACTGAGTATTTTCTATTGAACATTTCAGTAGAATCTGCCAAAAACTAATACAATTCAACAGAAATTCAATAGAATTTTCTAACGAATTCGATAGGTTTTTCTATTAAATTTTTTCGTCCGTGCTGACAAGGATTTCAAGAATGTGGGGAGGTTATGAAGTATTTTTCACTTGTCCAAATGAATGAGTAGAGGGATTAAATGAAAAAATGTAAGTTAATATAGGGGCACTTACTCCGGTTTGATTCCGCACACACCTTTTTGTCTATCATCGTTGGTGGCACCTGATGATTCAGGTGCACGTGGTCCATTGGAGTTTGTCATGCTGATTGAAACAGCCGGATTTCAAGGAGACCGGCGAGCTTGTTCTGCTTACGTCGGTAAGGGAGGGATTTATCAATTCTAAAAGTTTTTGAGAATTTAAAAAATGGAAAAACTGTGATTCAAAGTGAGCGAGAAACGATTGAAAATGATCAAGGATTGGTTCTAAAAATCGCTACTTTAGAAATATAAAAATAAGTTTACTTCAGATCAATTAAAGTTCATGGATTTTTTATAGAAAATTGAAAATAATTTCAGTAGCGAAGTGGTAAAAGGAGATGCGTCAATTTTGACTATTGACCAGTTTTCAATCAAAATCTATATTTCAAATAAAATCGACGCAAAAAACAAATAGAATTTTTCAATAGAATTCCAATAGAAATTCTATAGAAACCCCCATAGAATTCCTATAGAATTCCAACAGAATTTTCTAGCGACATCACTAGGTTTTCTATTGAATTTTTTCGTGCGTGGTATCATCCGTACCAAACTGTAAAAGATACTTAGATATCCTTAAAGATGCGATAAGTTGTTTGCAAATTTCTATGAAAGATTCAATGCATTAAAAAAATATTTAAAGAAAATACCTCAAAGAAAAACCGATACATTCCGATTTTTCCATTGAACATTTTCTGTTTCTATTTCCTTCAGAAATTCCAAAATATGAATTGCATACTTTGTTTCGACTTCATGGTTCAAAATTTCACTGGATTCCCTCTATTAACAATTTTGACACCGTTAACGATCCAAAAGTGCAAATAATCCCCAACCCCTCCCACCAATTCAATTCATCAAACTCTATTTTTATAATCTAGAAACCTACTAATGCAATTACACTACCAGGCCAAGCTAATGGGATTGAACATTCATTTAATATGATTACTAGGACAGAAGTCGATGATGAGGCTTCCCTCAAACTCACCCGGAACCGAAAACTCTCAGTCGGGCATAAGTCTCTAATCAGTAGTTAGTGCTCAATTCCCTCTCATCAACAGAGCCCGGAAATGGGGAAAGACGATCCGGAGACGACAGCCCTCAAGAAGGAGCTCGACGATTTAATCAAGAAGTGTCAGGTTTGTTTCACTAACATCGCTGTCATCCTATCCACTTCAACTACACCGAGAAAAAAAATTTCTTTCAAACTAGTCTTGTTTGAACCAACAAAATTTGCTATTTGAAAATTACCAGAAAAATAAAATCTAATGTTGCTCATTTGTATTGATAAAAATTGTATCCTATGGGCAAGCAGGAAAATACTGTTTTAGACAAAAATTTTTTTAGTTCCTGCGATTCTCATAGCAGACCATCGTGTTTTATATTCGTCGGAAAAGTTTGTTTCGGACTAGTGACAAAAATAATATTTAACACCATTCTTCGTTGTTCGGTACTTCGACGCATATTTTGCTCCCGAAAAATATTCGGTTTATGCGAAACAAGGGTATCGTTCCTTTTCGGCTATACACGTGTGAACAAATTTAATAGAAAAAATTTGCGAATTCGCTAGAAAATTCTGTTGGAATTCTCTAGAAATTCTATTGGGATTCTATTAAAATTCTACGGAACTCTCGTTAAAATTCTATTTGTTTTTTGCGCTGATTCCATGAGACAGATGATAGGAAAAGGTCAATAGATTTTGATTTTTACATATGAATATTCTCTTGGAATTTTTTCTATAAGAATACTAGAGCATGAGTTTTCCTAAGTTAAAGCATGAAGCGCCCGTTCGCTAGTAAATAAAAAAAACCGATAAAATTCTCGGAAGATTTCCAATAGGATTTGAAGAGAATTTCTAAGTAATTCCAATAGAAGCCATTTGTGAAGAACAGCATAAATCTATACAATTTTTTCTATGAAACAAATCCAAAGATTTACGATTTTAGACAAAAATTGATTTAGTTCCTACGATTCTCATAACAAACTTATATTCGTTGGAAAAGTTTGTTTCGGCCTAGTGACAAAAAATACTATTCTTGCACAACTTCTTCATTGTTTTGCGGTACTCAAGGTAAAACAAGGGAAAGTATTGTTTCTTTTCGGCTATACGCGTATAAAAAAATTCAATAGAAAAACTTAGCAAATTCGCTAGAAAATTCTATTCGAATTTCTCTAGAAATTCTATTGGGATTCTATTAAAATTCTAGGGAATTCTCGTTAAAATTCTATTTATTTTTTGCGCTGATTCCATGAGACAGATCATGGGCAAAAGTCGATAGATTTCGATTTTTCTATATAAATATTCTTTTGGAATTTTTTCTATAAGAATACTAGGGCATTAATTTTCTAAGTTAAAGCGCGAAGCGCCAGTTCGCTGGTGAATAAAAAAACTGATAAAATTCTCGAAGGATTTCCAATACAATTTGAAGAGAATTTCTAAGTAATTCCAATAGAAGCCATTTGTAACGAATAAAATTAGTCTGTACAGTTTTTTCTGTGAAATAAATCCAAAAATTTCCTACTGAATTTTTCATGCGTCATATACCTATTCCTCAACCCCCTGGGGCCTACACCATTTTAATAATAACATGAAAACGAATGACCGCCTTCACATTGTCCAATATTTTCGGTTGAAATAAGGAAGACCAAAAGAAACAGCAGGACACAACGTTAGAAGAGGCATGTAGCTCAGTAGCTGACGCTCCGAAAGTCAAACTTTCCACGAAAAAGCTCCTCAAGGGTCACATCAATAAAGTTAACTCAGTGCACTACAGCGGAGACAGCAGGTGACTCATCCTCCCTATTAATCTTGATTAATTTAAGGAGAAACTATGCGGGCTATTGGAGTGAGATTTTTGAAAAAATGTGTACAATAACAATTACGAATTAGTTTTTTGAAATTCGACTCCTACACAGCTAATTTTGTTTTGTTTAATATGAAAATTTGCGCCATTCATGTAAAATAGGAAAATTATCCTTAAAATATTTAAAATATATTTTCGATTCTTTCAGAAACATTTTTGGGGCTATTTCACATGAATGGCGCAATTTTTATTTAAAAAAAAACATAATTAGCCGTGTAGGAGTCAAATTTGAAAATAATAAGTCGTAATTGTTATTCGACACTTTTTTTCAAAATTTTTTGAAAAAAAAACTTCTGTAGCTCCAATATTGGAGGCCCTGGACTATCACGCATAAAAAGATTCCATAGAAAACCGAACGAATTTGCTAGAAAATTCTATTGGAATTCTATAAGAATTCTATAGAATTTCTATTGGAATTCTATTGAAAAAGTCTATTTGTTTTTTGCGTCTATTCTATCGGATATTCAATAAGAAAAAGTGAATAGATTTCGAATTTCTGTTTGAATTTTTCTCTTATATTTTTTCTATTAGAATTACTGTGCACAAATATTCTTTTTTCCGCTGGATTTTGTTTTATTTTGCATTGCAGAATCTGAGTGGAAAAAACTTATTGTTAAAAAATTGATGCCCAAGCATTATAGAAAAAATCTCAAGAGAAAAATTCAGACGGAAATTTGAAATCCTATTAATTTTTTGATATCGAATACCCAATAGAATCAGCGTAAAAAACAAATAGAATTTTTCAACAGAATTCAAATAGAAATCCTATAGAAACCCCATAGAATTCCTATAGAATTCCAACAGAATTTTGTAGCAAAATCGCTAGGTTTCATTGAATTTTTTCATACGTGATGTTTAACATTTTAAAAATCGTCTGCGGGGCAAGCGAACAATAAACAATTCATTTTTTGCACTAATTATTAGTTTTTAGACATACATAATCGATCTTCAATCTGTGAGAAATCTCATTCCAATAGCCCGCGACTTTTAAAACTCATAGTAGTCTCCCCTTAATACGTTCCTTCCAATTATTCAATTAATTTTTTGCGAAGGCACTGCGTGACTGGCTCCCTCGATGGCAAGCTCATCATCTGGGACTCCTGGACTGGCAACAAAGTTCAAGTCATCCCTCTGCGCTCTGCCTGGGTGATGTCCGTTGCTTTCAGTCCCTCCGGGAATTTCGTGGCTTGTGGAGGAATGGATAATATGTGCACTGTTTACGATGTGAATAATCGAGACTCCACTGGATCCGCTAAGATCGTGAGGGAGCTTCTGGGATATGAGGGGTTTTTGTCCTCGTGCAGATTTTTGGATGATAAAACACTCATTACCGGATCGGGAGATATGAAAATGTAAAGAAAGAATTGGAAAGAAAATCTCATTTAATGAGGAAATGGACATGCACGAAAAAGTTTCTAATAAGCCTATTGAAAATTTCATTAGGTTTTTGAGCAATTCCGGAGCTTTTCTGCACGTTTTTTTAGTAGAAAATGTTCATTAGAAACTCTTTAATCAATAAAAGCCAGTAGAATTAGATTTTTTGATTCAGCGTAGGGCTGTTAGCTAAATAAATTGTCGGAATAAATTTATGTCTGGAATAAAATTATTCCACAATTGGACATTTTTAGGAATTCTAAGTGACTCAATTCAGCCATTCAGTCGCGAATAACGACTAAATACTTCATAATTAATGGTACTATTGGCAAAAACTTGGCGAATTCGCCAGAAAATTCGACTGAAACTCTAGAAATTCTATTGTTTTCTTGCGCTGATTCTACGAGATATTTGATAAGAAAAAGTCAATAGATTTCGATTTTTCTATATGAATATTCTCGTGGAATTTTTTTCTATAAGAATACTTGGGCATTAATTTTCGAAGTTCCTTTCACTGGGATCCTGTAATGCAAAATAAAACAAAATAAAGCGGAAAAAAACTTAAAAAATCCGTACTCAATAATTTTTAATAGAAAAAATCTTAAAGGAAAAATTCAAACAGAACTATATTTTCTACTGAACATTCTCATTAGAAAGAAACGCGTAAACGAAAAAATTCAATACTAATTCCACGAAATTTTCAGGCGAATGCGCTCGGTTTCGCTTAGCGCAAAAAAAAACTGATCTTCAAGTAAAATTAGTTTGTTTTATGACTCGACTATTGAATTGTTCGAACGGATTTCAACATTGGGATTAATTACACGCATGAAAAAATTCAATAGAAAGCCTAGCGAATTCGCTAGAAAAATCTATAGGAATTCTATGGGGTTTCTATGGGATTCCTATTGGAATTCTATTGAAGCATTGTTGTTTCAATAGAACAAGTTGTTTGTTTGTGCTGATTCTGTTGGATATTCGATAAGAAAAAGTCAATAGATTTCGAACTTCTCTTTGAATTTTCTCTTAAGATTGTTTCTATAAGAATGCTTCGGCATCAATTTTCAGTTTTTTCCACTCGAATTCTGTAATGTAAAACAAAACAAAAAACAGCGGAAAAAACCTCCAGAGAAAAATTCAAACAGACATTCGAAATTTATTGACTTTTTCTCATCGAATATCCAATAGAATCAGCGCAAAAAACAAATATAATTTGTCAATAGAATTCCAATAGAAATCCTATAGAAACCCCGGAGAATTCCTATAGAATTCCAATAGAATTTTCTCGGGAATTCACTAGGTTTTCTATTGAATTTTTTGATACGCGTAATTCGGTTATATTCAGTTGCATGTGGGACTTGGAGTCTGGCAAGAAGAACGTCGACTTTCCCGCCCACGCTGGCGACGTTGTCAGTATCAGTCTGAATCCGGACGGTCAGACCTACGTCACTGGATCCGTCGACAAAACCTGCAAGCTCTGGGACTTCAGGGAAGAAAGAGCCAAGCAAACGTTTTTCGGTCACGAGGCCGACGTCAACTCCGTTTGCGTGAGTAGGGACAATGAAATCTAACACCGATCTGCATCGCAAGGTTTCTAATCTCATTTCCCCGCAGTGTCACCCATCGGGTCAAGGTTTCGTCACCGCTTCTGAGGATAAAACAGCCCGAATTTGGGACTTGCGGTCTGACCAACAATTGGCGACATTCAAACCACCTAGTTCTAATCCTGGATTCACCTCGTGCGGGCTGTCGCTGAGTGGAAGATTTATATTTTGCGGGAGTGATGATAATTCTATTCATATATGGGATACACTGAAAGTTCAACATAATGGTAATTAATTGATAATTAATTCATGCACAAAAAATTGACAGAAAAACCTAGCGAATTCGTTAAAAAAATTCTATTGGATTTCTATTGAACTTTCATTAGTTTTTGGCCGATTCTATTGAAATGTTCAATAGAAAATATTCAATAGAAACAGTAGATAGAACTCGATTTTTCTATATAACTCATTCTATTGAGATATTTTCTATGGAATTTCCTCGGCTCAATGTTTTTTGTTTTATTTTATTGATGAGAACAAAAAAAATTGAATAAAAAACACTTGGAGCCAAGGAAATTCTATAGAAAATATCTGAAGAGAATAGTTATATAGAAAAATCGAATTTTATTGATTTTTTCTATTGAAGATGTCAACAGAATCGGCCAAGAACTAATAGAAAGTTCAATCGAAATCCAATAGAATTTTCTAGAAATCCTGTTAGCATTCTACTAAAATTTTAGGGAATTCTCGTTAAAATCCCATTTATTTTTTGCGAATATTCTCTTGGAATTTTTTCTACAAGAATACTTGGCCATGAATTTTGTAAATTTTTTTCTACTAGGATCCTGTAATACCAAACAAAACTTACCACTACTTGGCTATTAACTGAAGATTCAGTTGACTGAAGACAATAACCCAAAAATCGAGATTACTCTATTTTTTTCCAGGCACCATGAATGGCCACGAGAACAGAGTAACTTCCCTAAACGTCGCGCCAAATGGAATGGCAGTGGCCAGCTGCTCTTGGGACAACTTCGTCCGAATCTGGGTGTAATCCATCGGAAAACGCCAAAAAATCGAACATTGTGTCAAGTAAAAATGAAAATACTCCGAAATTATGAGAAATTACAATAAAATGCGTCTTCTTTCTTTCGAAACTCGAGTGATTTCATCCCCTAATTTACATGAGCTTATGAATATGAGTTGTGTAATAGAATAACGATTAATTTTAACGTGAAAAACAATTTTTCCAAAATATACGAGGAAATGGTGGAAATAGCTCACACATGAAAAAAAAAATTTAATTTTATCTCCCATAGTTTCCGAGATAATCGCGAGAAACGAAAATGCAAACAAAAATTAATTTAATTCATCTTCTATAGGG